GCAGCTGCTTTTAAACAGTCTGCACACTTCCTCCTCTCTTACAGATGACTGTATCATTTGCAAAAGCTGACTTTCCTATATGCCTAGGAATTTGATCAAAGATATATTTAATCTTAATTAAAATTACTAATGGCTCAAACAGTCTTCCCTGAGGAGTTCCATTCTCAGTTATTAGATTGCGTACCATTTATACAAACTCTTATTCATCTTTTGTCTAGAAGGTCTCTGTCCCAATTAAATAATCTAGCTTTTACACCTATTTTTAAGTTTAATAAATAGTCACTATTTCCACAGCATATCATGTTTTATTTTCTATATCCAAAAACATTGCTGTCTATTTCTTTATTCACTGCTGCTTTCTCTTTTCTCCGATTCTAAGTCTTTGTGAGTTTTTAGTCGTTTTAGTCGTTTTCACCTCTTCTTCAGTTCTAACAACAAGAGGCAGCACATTTGCAGTCAGAGATGGCCCGTTTGTCAGCAGAGAGCTCTGCTGCCAGATGGAGGCAGTTTCATGATTTTAGTCTTCACTGAATAAAACTTGTTTGTCTTATAACAGCCACCGTACTAGCATTATGCATTTGGATTGGGAGGGGTAAGAAAACACAACTTAGTTGACTGAAACTTAGACAGTTAAAGACAAAGCTTACTTTTATATTCAGCAGTACTACAATCCCATTGCTAGATGGCGCCATCTGACAAACCAAACCCAGCAGCACATTCTGGAGAAAGCTAGTCCTGCAGCGGAGCTTAATGACAGTCTTTGATGTTTAGACATGTGCAGAATAAGTGCTTTAATCATGAAAAGTGGGATTATAACTTAAAGTAAGTTCATGTGAGTGGGTGGTAGCAAGTCATAAGAAAGACGTCAGATGAGGACAGAAATAACAGAAAGTCAACATTTTTATTTTGAATGCAAATACATAATATTCAGCCTGTAGCCCTTCGATTTAGACAATAATACTTAAATGTTGTTTTTATACGTCCAAAATTTAACATTGCTATTTTTTTTCTGATTTTAATTGTTGATCGTTTCATTATTTTATCACGTTGCAGAACGAGAAAGACATGAAGCTTTGACCTCTTGTCCCAAATCAGGTAGAATAGTTGCCAGTTGAATTTGTGGTGGATGAATAATTGTATCTCGATTGCTTGGGGAAGTTATTTGTATATGAATGTAAACATGAGCATAATTTAATTTACTTTTAAATTGTCATTAGTAAGAATGTGATTAAATAACTTCAGAAAATATGTGATAAGAACTGTGACACAAATATAACCTTCCGAATCAGTGGGTGACCTGCTCTACCTCCTGAGTTACAGCCAATAGGGCTGGGTATCGTCACTGATTTCTAGAATCGATTCAATTCCGATTCACAAGGTCCCGAATTGATCCACGATTCGATTTAATTCGATTCGATTCGATTTGAAATCTGGGAAATTTTGACAGTCAGAAATATTATAATTCAGATCAGTACATTTACATATTTTTGTATCTATAAAAAGGAAGCTGACACACGCAAGACTTTATCAAAGGTGTGAGCATCACAGCAGATGCCTTTGTGTCAAAGTAGCTGAAGATAAAACACAGAAAAACATGAAGGTGGTTTTCCTGGCCTGGGATTTTATAAAAATATTCTGCAGTACATCAAAAACGAAAGAAAACCATTAATCAACATATGAACATTACCTCTGAAGTTACAGCGGTTTTATTAGAGACACGGCTAAGCGTTTTGCATTTTGCATAATTTTAAAAAGTTTAAATTTGTTCAGTATTGAACAGCAGAAATTAGGTTTTCTTTTCGGAAGTAAGTAAAAGGAAAAAAAAACATCGCCGACAGCGCTGTAACACTTGTGCGTAACAAGCAAGCGAATAATGCAGAAAACAGATTTTTAGACGGAAACTGTTCTTGAAGTACAGAGAGAGAGAGAGAGAGCTGTGCATCGTGGTCAAAGCAAAACAGTAAAAGTCAGAGTGAATTCATGACGATGTTTATGTGAAGCATAGTTTGGATCTTCTTTTGCTGCTGGTTCGGTCAATATTGTTTGGAGAGAGATCAAACTAACAGCTTTAGAATCAGCGCATAAAGGGCGTGAACACAAAGCGCGGACCCGCCGACAGATCAGAATCAGCGAGCTGTCGGCTTTCAGCCCCGACCGTGAGAAAGGCGACATCTAACTGATTCTGATCCGCGGGGCGCTGTGTGTTTAAGTCTTTGTGCAGAATCCGTGTTCCTGCTCTCATTTACTGTCTTAGCTGTTTGGTGGTTGAAATTTTGTGAGATTTCACCTGAGATTCTGGCATTTCGGGCAAAATAAATTTATATTAAAAAATCGATTCAGGATTTTAATGAATCGATTTTACGTTATCCAAGCCAGAATCGATTTTAAAAACCCACCCCTAACCGCCACCCACTGGCAAAAATGAGTAAACCGTCACTAGGTTTTGTATAAAGTGTACACTCACAAACCTGTGAAATACCTGTGGATGTGAGAGTGTATGGTTTGCTCTTTCTCTCTCTCGGCGAGACCTGTTAGGGTGTACCTTATCGTGCGGACTCAGAGGCTGTAGTTTCATTTTGTGACAAAATTCAAACAATAAACGGCTGTATTAATTTTTTCTTCTTATAATGCGAGTATTGAATTGAAAATGAGGACGTTTATGATGCTGCTTCTTTACTGGACAGCGTCTCTGTCTGCAGGTAAGCTTCATAAAAATGAAACTGTTCTTTAGAGATAGTGTTGCTCTCAGGTGGCTCAGGTGTTACTGTAAACAGACTCTTGGCTTCCACATATTCAAGATTCAAGGTTTATTTTTATTTTGCAGTTTGTTTTTGTTGTTGTTGTTTTTTTTTTACAGAAGTACAAAGGCTTCAACAAAATGTTGCTTCTCACCAGCCTCTACGCTACAATGATCAGTAAAAGAAATAAAATACAGTAATAACAAATCTAAAATAAGGATTGTTAGTGCAAAGTCTTCAAGCATCCTGCTGGTTCTGCAGCTGATGCTCCGTCTCCTCTTTCCAGATGCTGGAGTGAGAACAGGCCGTGAGAGGGCTGGTTTGGGTCCCTGATGTTTGTTTGTAGCTGTTTGCAGAAAGCCTACAAACAGCTACAAACATCAAAACCTAAATGAGTGTTGGTTTACAAATTATTTTTGTTGAAATTAAATTTCTAATTGTAGAAGAAGAAAAATTTAAGCTGCTCATAATGTTTTATGGTGTAAGGTATAGAAGTGTAATATTAGCAAAAAGGGAAAGAAACAGTTGTAATCTGCACAATACTAAAAAAAATAAATAAATAATTTACTGGCAGCCTATGGTCAGGTTAATGCCATAATAAGGACTGTAAATCATTACTGATGCATCATGAAAGTATAACCAAATCAAAATGACCTACAAACAACAGTTTTTACAAAACAATATTGTAGTTACAAAATGTAAGTTTTTAATATAAGATGATCTGAAAAGATAAAACATTGATTCATAAATCTATTTTTGTATTTATAGAGGAGACATTACCCACATAGCAAAATTGGTATGGCCCGGATCTGTCCCACACAATGTGCTTACACGTGGCCCCAGATACCGCAAAGGATGACGGCGCTTTGGTGGCCAACACATGGGCCAGAGCGTTCTCACTCCCGAGGCGTAACATGTCGACGTTTTGTCGCATGGGCCAGCACAAGGCCAGTTGCAGACACACTGGTGGTCCTTTGCTGGCCCAGAAGAGTTTCTACTCTGGACCCAGATGTCAGCCTTATGTGTACCTTAATTAAGCCATGTAATAAAAACATGTGCATGATAGTGCAAAAGTAACATGACAAAACTCTGTTCAGACAGTGAATGAACAGATTCTTATACAACGCTTTTCACGTTCCCAGATTATTGAAAGTGCTCTATACAACATGTCACATTCACCCAACCACACACTTTCTCTAAACTGAGTGCTTCCTAACTACATTCACACTCTTGACAAGCAGACTGGAGGAGCCAGGGATAAAACCGCTAATCTTCTGAGCAGTAGGTGACCTGCTCTACCTCCTGAGTTACAGCCACCCACTGGCAAAAACGAGTAAACCGTCACTAGGTTTTGTATAAAGTGTACACTCACAAACCTGTGAAACCTGCATTTGGAACGTTGGCTACTACATTGCCAGACCTGACCCACATCTGGTTGACATACACCCTGCCATGACACCAGTCAGTCAGAAGTGCCAGCTTGATGCCGGATCCGGGCCAGACCCGTTTTCTGCGAGCCTGAGCCACATACACCAAACCACAATCGGGCCAGATGTGGCATGCCATCACATAAACAGTGCCATCTATGCCAGGCTTGGCCCATACCTGGATGACATACGTCGTATCATGCCAGAAGTCAGCCAGCAGTGCCGGCTTCACACCAGATCCGGGCCAGACCTGCTTGCTATGTGGGTATAGTTTTTTTATTTTGAAAATGTGCTGATTTTTAAAGCTGTTTCTCACTACATTAAATATTTCTTACAGTGACCCACTCTATGAAGTATTTCTACACTTGGGATTGTCACGGTTTGCCAGGGCAAGCCGTGGGGATGTGTGGGAAAGGAGGACCCAGAACGCTGGACTCTTCACTGCAAGCAGTGCGTTTATTTACAGTGCGAAAATGACAATAAATCCCCGTGCTCTCCCTTTACTCCCGTGTTGTGTCTTCTTCTTCTCCTCCTGAGGAAAACAATAGAGACAGCCATTAAAACACTTAATCCCAGCAGACATACACTCACTGACTTTTAAACTAAACTAGAAGACTGACGTGAAGTCTAACACAATAATCCCGCGTCGGTGGAAGCTCCATCGCTCTCCTAAATAGTTCCCCCGACGAGCCCAGATCAGCAGCAGGTGTGTGGCAAGGACTTCAGGTGCGGCCAGTCCTCAAGCAGGGCCACACCCACCAGGCCTGAAGGTGTCTGTAACTTGGCCACAGAAAACGCTACACACACATGCACACACACACCTGCCTACATACAAATGTGTACAGAACAGTAGCAGTGCAGACGACACACACATCATATAATAATAATAATAATAATAATAATAATAATAATAGCCAACACTGCTCACGAGTCCCCGAGTCCCCAGAGTCCATGACAGGGATGATTGATGAAGTTCAGATGATTCGTTATGACAGCAACACCAGCAGAGCTGAACCCAAACAGCAGTGGATGAACGATGCAGCAGATACACAGTACTGGGAGAGGAACACTGCGTTTTTCCCTCCATTAATAATTTAAAGCAGCGCTTCAACCAAACTGGAGGTTTTGTGTTGTTTTACTGACACATGCTGTCAATGTTTTGTTGTTTTTGTTTTTGCAGTACATTGAAAATTTGTCATTTAGATCACAGTCCGAACTCTTGTTTAGATGCTATTAACTTGCCT